CGGACTACCCACATTTTACAGATGTTTGCGTAACAAATATTTATATGCATTGTTTGAACTAAGTCATCAATTTGTAAATTATTAACAGTTATAGTAAAAAAAAAAAATTTTTCAATAGTGATTTGTGATATAAGTGTGTGCATGTCCAACTAAATACACACGTACTGGATTATTCTTTTGTTTTCTCATGTAAGTGAATTTTGTGTTCTGTTTTGAGAAATAAATGTTTTAAACCAGAAACCATAATGATATGGAAAATTAAAATTCTCATACATTATGTTACAACAAAAACATATTTCTGACGTCGTAGTAATTAATTTGATAAATTTTTTTTTGAGATATTGGGGCGTTTGAAGTTGTGCATATTATCGTTTTTCCGTAAACTAGCTGCAGTAGAACGATCAGTACAAAAAAAAGAAAATAGTATTTTCAAATAGTCTACATTAACTTACAATAGGAAGAATAAATCTACTGTTTACCTCTATTGGAAATAGTCAAAATCTCTCTAAGGGGGTAAACGAGGCGCTCGAGGCTAGTTTTTTGCAAAAAATGTGAAAGGACTCTTATGCAAAACCGAGTTGCATTGATTACATACTTTATAGAGAAGTGCTATATCATATCTCAGTGTTCAATTACACAATGGCCACATTAATGCAAACTCAGTGTAGCCCACGAAGTATTCAAGAAGAAAATATATATATATATATAATCACATTTACACACCCTTTGAGAGTAGTCCCAATATGGTGTGCATTTGGACAACAATTACACTTACCCCAGGCAATAGCCTCTGGAGGCTACTATTAATTAATGCAAAAGTATTCAAGAGAAACAATAAGATTATAACTTCATTTACACACTCCCAGAGAGTAGCCCCAGTAAGGTGTGTATTTTTACAGCAACTACACGTAACCCCAGGGAGTAGCCCTGGCAGGATACATGCAGAAGCATTATTGGGACGTGTATGATCATGTAAAATAATAATAATAAAAAAAAATGTAAAGTTCTTGAAACTTTAAATATAGGAGTTATGAAATTAGCACTTATGAATGAGAAAAAAAAGTAAAATAAAAAATAACTTGCGTTTTTTTCTGGGCGTAGTGAGAATATCAGGATATTCTCAGTCCATCCCGCTTCTGAAACTATTAGATTAGTTTCCAGAAGTTAAACCACAATGTTAATTTTCCACTTGCTTTATTCAACTTGTACTTCACTGTAATATAAACTAAAATTATTATAACAAGAATATTTAGCAGCAACACCACGTTAAATTTTGGACCACTATTCACGACGAAGGCTCTCGACTGAATACCGTATTTATGACCGCTCCACTCGCTAGTCCGTCCCCCCTTCACGTCACGTGATAAGATGGTAGGGAGGTAAGGTGATGTGGCGTGATTTAGCATAGACAAACTAAGATAAAAACAATAACTGTACTATTGACCGATCTGTAAAAAATGCTAACATTATAAAAATGCTAACATTATTATTTTCATAAAAATAAACAGATATTACATGGAATGGGAGTATAAACTATCTTTAGATAATTACAGAAATAATCTTTTTATAAATATAATATAAATAGTAGTAATAAGTATTATTAACTAAGGTACCTAGTTCTAATTTTATGTTGATAAATACCTATGGTCGCCTACATTGCATTACTAAGGTAAACAATCTTGGCACAACTTTTTAACAGAATCACCCATTTAATCTATACTTATAATAAATCTGTAGAGATGTCAATTCTGTACATGAAATATATTTTTAAAATAACTATCGGGGGGTGATCGATACTGATTCCAAAAATGCAATCAGTAAAATTTTTGTCTGTCTGTCTGTCTGTCTGTGTGTATGTTCCTTATAGAAACAAAAACTACTCGACGGATTTTAACGAAACTTGGTACAATTATTCCTCATACTCCTGGGCAGGTTATAGTATACTTTTCATCACGCTACAATCAATAGAAGCAGAGTAGTGAAGGGAAATGTTGGGAAAACGGGAGAAGTTACTCCATCTTTAAGCTTCCGTCGCGTGTGCAGCCTTAATGGTTAAAGTAACATAGAAATCATGTATGACGGAAATATTCTACATAAAATTGTCTAAAAAATATCCCGCAACAGCATATGTTTATCTTTTATGGTTGACTCACAATAACACGTGTAACTCCCGATAGCTTAGCAGTTCGGAGCATTCTGATCATATTTGTTTACTCTTACGTTTATAATACTCTGACTCATCCTTAATTTAAAAAAGTTAACATTATTACATATTCAATAAAAAAAAAACTTAGAAATCGGTATAGAAACACCAAACTTATACATGAAATAAGCCATCGCGCCGTCGCACGTGAATACTGAATCATGCTATAAGGATTATTTTTGTGAAACGGTTGCCGCGCTCGACACGGGTCGCGGCGGCGCGGCGCGGCGGTAGGGTATCAAAAGGCGGGAGGTCCGAGAGCGAGATGTCTAAATCTGTTTTCTGCGTCGCTCCCCCCCCCCCCCCCCCCCTAGGGGACGATCGCTTCCGATGAAGCCTTAGAGGCCTTCCCGGCCAGAGGCAGCCCCTACGGGTGTTTTTTAGTCAGTACGAGTCTGACAAAAACCTTGCAGCCGGCTGTAGGGTATCCATGAGGATTTCACACTTACTCCCCTGCCTGGGAGGAAACAAAAAAAATAAAATAAAGAGAGCGAGCAAGCTTCAATATTTGGCTGTTGATGCGTTCAGAGCGCTCGACCTTATTGACAGACAATAATTGATATTGAGAAACTTTTAGTCTTTAAATAGTTTATTTGAATTACTTTTGTTGTTATTTTGTAAAATAGGTATGATTTAAGGGCGAACAATGGGCGGTATCACAGTTTTATTTTGTGGTGATTTCCGACAAACCTTACCGGTAATACCACGGGGAACCCGAGCTGATGAGGTTAGGGCTTGCCTGAAAAGCTCTTATTTGTGGCGTGATATACAATCGGTGCATTTGACTATAAACATGCGAGTGAGAACTGTAGATAACCCGGATGATCGTGAATTTTCTGATATATTATTAAAGAAAATACCTTCACCAAAGATACCTATCCACTGCTACACCAAGGAAAACTTATTCTGACGCCTGAGTTATGTTGTATAGTGCAATCCCAACAACATCATATATCGTCAGTTTACGGTGACGTAACAAATATATTAAATAAGGACAATTCTTGGCTATGCGAAAGGTCCATTTTAACTCCTCGCAATGACCTGCCTGGTCATGATTAATAATAAAATACTGTCGAATACCTAGGGGAAAAGCAAAGTTATAGTTCAATAAATAGAATGGCCGATGAATAAGAAGCCACTAATTACCCGATAGAATTTTTAAATTCTTTAAATATGCCCGGACTTCCTTCTCATGAAATTTGTTTAAAAATTGGCATTCCGATTATTCTGCTCCGAAATTTAAGACCACCACAACTTTGCAATGGAACTCGGCTTAAAGTAACCCAGTTGCAACAAAATGTAATCGAGGCTCAAATTTCAATAGGTTGCGGTGCAGGAGAAACCATCTTTATTCCCAGAATTCCCATGATACCAAATAATTTTCCATTCCAATTTAAAAGAACGCAATTTCCAGTATCGGTGTGTTATGCAATGACAATAAATAAGGCTCAAGGGCAGACTTTTCGTGTTGCTATAGTAGATCTCGGTGTCAGTTGTTTTTCACATGGTCAGTTATATGTCGCTCTTTCCCGGGTTAGCAGTTCTAGAAATCTTTATGTTCACGTGCCGGACGGATCAACTTTCAACGTAATTTACCCGGAAGCTTTGCGCTGAAGTATTTTCATTTTATATGTACTTAAGCCTCATGTGAAAGTGATCTAAACCATATTACCAATACATTAACATAATAACAACATACAAGGAGTTACACGCTGATGATCTCGGGGCACAGTGATAATAATAATATTCTGCGGTTCCTTATTGCTATATTTTTAACAGTATTGTGGATTGACATATTATATTTCCCTACTAAAATACGAAAGTTAATCTGTCTGTCACATCAAAACCACGGAACCCTGAGGAAGGACATATGCTACTTTTTTACGAAAAACGACGAAAACGCGGACGAAGTCGCAGGCTAAAGCTAGTAATAAAATATTAACGAAGCCAATAAACTATTAAAATAAATCGTTATTATAGACTGAAACATATTGAATCCAGTTATCAGTTGATTTTTAATGCTGTATATTCAATAAAAAGGAGTGCCAAGTTGGATGAACAGACTGTAGTATCTAGTAACAGAACTTTTATTTTTTATTTTTTTAAACAGATTGTCCGTTTACTATGATTAATTGCTAATAAGTTAAAAAAATAATAGTGAAGGACATTCTTTTGGGTATGCTAGGGCCGATTTCGTCGATGTCCTTTACTTACTCAGTCACGCAAAAAAAAGCTGAACGGATTTGTATGAAATTTTGATTCTCAGCAAACTATATTTTGCAGGAACGAAGTCGCGGACTGAAGCTAGTGTACAATATTAATTATGTAAAAGCACATCTTACAAAATGATACAAAAAAATATATTTAAAAAGTTAAGATTTGTATAATGGTAACATTTATATTTAGGAGAATTTGCTTAGTTATTGCAGTGTCGCTACTGATAAATAAGATAAACATAAAAGTATAGGGATTAGATAAGTACCCGACTATATAATTTATCGATAAAAATGAATGCATATTTGAGATTATTCTCTTTGTAATAATGCGGTAGGTAACAATAATTTCAGAAAGTTTATTAGTTGAAACGTAACAGTCTACAAAGCCACGAAACTAACCATTTAGTATTGAAGACCATGAAGCACAAACTTACATAAACATATATTATGATTAATGTTGACATAGGTGTCGACAACCAAAATTAAGTAAAGTATTGAACACCGCGACTTATTATGGAACTTATTATAAATAATGATAAATCGTACACATGTACTACTATGTATAGGTTTGCATTATCGTTGCCTAATATCAGGCGTAAATCGTAATCTTGTTCAATAATGAATTAAAATCAGCACTTGAATTATATTTTTTAAGAAAAACAATTGTGGGCAGCAAATTGTAGAAACATAATATCGACAAGATTAGATAGTGCGTGAGCTGTCACTAGTCATATTTGGCATTTTTTTTTATCACGCAGAACAGGATTTGCGACGAAAAAGTTAAGTTGTCAATAGTTCTCTAGTACGAAGTTCAAGTGTATTGAGAGTGACCGTGTTTTTGCTGTACCAAAATGTTTTTTGTGACAATAGTCGCAATATTTACTCTTATTTTATATTTTTATAATACTAGAACATTTAAATACTGGAAAGAAAGAGGTGTTAAATACGTAGAGCCAGTGCTATTTTTTGGGACTTATACAGATGTGTATCTAGAGAAGAAAAGTCGAAGTCAAGTAGCAGAAGAAATTTACTGGAAGTATCCGAACGAAAAAGTGGTGGGAGCATTTAAATCCACAACTCCTGAACTTATCATAAGAGATCCCGATTTGATAAAACACGTTTTGATTAACGACTTCCCATCATTTTATTGTCGTGGTTTGAATCACACCAATGATGTCGAAATTTTTAGAAAACATTTGTTTGCAATAGATGGAGATTTATGGCGAATGCTTAGACAGAGAATGACACCAGCGTTTACTAGCGGTAAGTTGAAAGCCATGTTTCCGTTGATTGTAGAACGGTGTGAGAAGTTGCAATCAAGAACCCTCTCTGCTGTTACTGGCAACCGTGCACTCGATGCTAGAGAACTGATGGCTCGGTATACCACTGACTTTATCGGAGCATGTGGTTTCGGGATTAACTCGGACTCTTTAAATGATGAAAATTCACCATTTCGAAAACTCGGTGCCAACATGTTCAAAGTAACATTGAGAGATTCAATTGTTGCAGTGATTAAAGATGTATTTCCATACAGTGAGAAATACTTGAAAACATTTAAGAGAGTAGAACCAGATATTCTTAATTTAGTAAAACGTATACTCACTGAAAGAAACTATAAACCATGTGGGCGAAATGACTTTATTGACCTTATGTTGGAGTATCTCAATAAACCTATGGAAGCTGAATCTATAGAAAAAGTTGGTGAAAATCCTATACATGTGAAGATGATTTTAAATGAAAAACTATTTGCTGCACAAGTGTTTGTATTTTTCGGTGCCGGATTTGAGACATCAGCTTCTTCAACTAGTTTCACGTTACATCAACTGGCGCTTAATCCCGATGTCCAAAAACGAGTACAAGAACATATCGATCAAGTTTTGGCAAAACATAATAATAAACTTTCTTACGAAGCTGTAAAAGAAATGACTTACCTCGAGTGGACTTTTAAAGAAGGACTTCGTATGTTTCCCTCTCTCGGCTTTCTTATGCGAAGGAGTACAAGAAAGTATAAATTCGAAGAAATAAATTTGGATATTGATAAACGTGTTAATATTATCATCCCTGTGCAGGCCTTGCATATGGATTCTAAATATTGGGATGATCCTGAGGAGTTCAGACCTGAAAGATTTCATCCAGATAACTTTGGAGCGGCACAAAAAATGGTGTATTTCCCATTTGGAGATGGACCTCGGAATTGCATTGGTAAGAATACTAAAAATCAAAATAAAGCTTTTAACTTTTTTGAAATTATTTTTAAAAAAGTTAAAAGCTTTAAATTGATATTTTTAAAAATGAGGAAATTAAGCACTTGAGGTAAGTCTCAAGTGTTTACTTTCCTCATTTTCCAGTATGATTAAATAAATAATTTTCGTTTCTACAGGTAGTCGCCTTGGCTTAATGCAGTCAATGGCTGGACTGGCTGCTATTCTCTCCAAGTTCACAGTTGAACCTGCATCCGAGACTGTACGTTACCCAAAAGTAGAACCTAAATCTAACGTCGTTCAAAGTATTAGAGGGGGTTTGCCTTTAATGTTTCATGAGAGGAAACAAGTATAAGATGAAGAAACATTGAGAGAAAATTCATTGAACACTACATTTGCCATTTATTTATTTTAAATGCGCTCTCATTTTAATCAAAAATAATTATTTTTAAAAATATAATATGACACTCACATCCTTTGTTTTACTCGTTTCAAAATATAATTTCCACATTTGAGAAAAATCAAATACTGCAAGGTAATTGTAAAATATTGCCATTGTTTCTAGAAGGGTCGAGATTTCAGAAATTATATTTTTGAATAATGACTATATCTTGATTATTCGATTTCTTGAAATCGATGTCATATTATACATTTTATTTTTTTGTAAAATTTGCCATATAAACAAAGACATTAATGTCGTTGCATCTAAATGACAGTTGTTTGGCATAAAATAATTATCTGGTAATTACCGAGCAATCTCTCCCTTACCGTGTCTCTCTCACTACGGGATATTGGCGAAATTTCTGTGTGAAACGGAAACAGCCACAGAACAAAAAAAAAAAAACAAAATAATTTTATTATAATTATACACTTTACATTTCAATAAAGTTCGCCATATAAATGACAGTTGTTTGGCGTCAAACAATAAAATTATTTTATTTTATTGTTTGACATTGATAAAATGTCGTATAAGCTGGAATAAAAGCAAAAGAGAAACATCATGCGCCGGATAGTTACTTTATCACACTGATAATGAACTGTCACTAGATTATTTCCAACCAACTGATGCTAATTGTGACGTTAAACCTCATCTGGGGCTATGGCAACAAACTTATCTAAGTGCTTATCAAAATAACCAATCGTTTAATATTAACTTACCTCAATCTTTAAATGTACACTTTAAAAGTGCCTGGAGATATAGATTTATTTTGTTCAATTTAGGTTTACACTACATGTACCAAATTCGATTTTCTAAATAGGCTTTTAACTTTAATTTCTATGTATAAGCTAACAATGTATCCAGTACATTAAGTAGAGACATTTACAGTAGAGTTGCAGGTATTTGTAAGTTGTAGAAAAGACGTAACAAAAGTTATGGGTGGCGTTAATGATCACGTATCTACGTTGCGTAAGTCTATGATCTCTTGATACTTAATAGGATATGATGATAAATTTTAAATTTCAAGAAAAGCGACTGTGCGAATGTTTATTAGATTTGATCCAGGAACCAAAACCGACACGTTTTTGAGGTATTAATATAGGATTACTTCAACTTCAAATAAAAACTGAGGTAATCTTGTATTTAAATACATGTATTTACTAGATTGAATACTAATTGCAGCCAGCTGTAGGGCGGGCATGCATGAGGATTTCACACCCGCTGTCGTGCCTGGGAGGAAACACTAAAATACGGCGGTTATCATTCGTATTTAAAAAAAAGATAATATATAATTGGTTTTTAAGTTTGAAACGTAGTTTGACTTTGATTTAGGTACTTTAGTTGAGATACATAGATTGATATTAAATGTTTTTTCTAACTTCCGATTCCTGCTCAAATATATTGTGGTAACGACAGGCAACTACGGCACCCTACACTGCATGTGGCATACGTACTTGCCCTTTATTAATCTTTCTTGTATTTATTATGTGTCTATATCTAGCAGAAATATACACCACAGAAGGCAAATACGGCAGGAAATTACCTTATTATGATAAAACATTGTAATAAAATATAAATATATATGTACGTAATCGTATACGTATGTTTATTCTTCTCGTCACCCATCCCGCAATGTCTCAAATCGAAAGTCTTCGACCAGTGCGTCCTCCCAGTTTTGACATACGGCGCCGAGACGTGGACACTCACGGCTGGACGAGTCCACCAGTTTAAAGTCGCTCAGAGAGCTATGGAAAGGGCTATGCTCGGAGTATCCCTGAAGAACCGCATCAGAAATGATGTAATCCGACAGAGAACCATAGTCACCGACATAGCCCACCGAATTAGCAAACTGAAGTGCCAGTGGGCTGGTCACATTAGCCGCAGAACTGATGGCCGTTGGAGCCGGAAAGTTCTTGAGTGGAGACCACGACTCGGTAAACGTAGTGTAGGACGCCCTGAGACAAGATGGGATGATGATATTCGCAGGCTGGCTGGAGTGGGCTGGATGAGAGTAGCACAAAATCGGGAGCAGTGACGTGCATTAGGGAAGACCTATGTCCAGCAGTGGACACTGTGAGCTTGGGTTGATGATGATGTACGTATTATAGTGTAATTTTTCTCATAACTGCTGGGTCAGATTTTGATGCACCTTTATATTTAAGTATAGTTAAGGTACCCTTACTTAAATACCACAACGCTAGCGATATTGATTCTTGGACCACTTTCGCCCAGTTTGTCCACAGAACTGTTATATCCAAATTTGAAATTTCAAATGAATTAGATGTGAAGTATAGCGGTTGAATTAGAATATTTACCGACGGTTCAATTAATCACTACTAATTAACCTTGACCAACGATATACGGGAGAGACCCGCCTCAAGGTGCTGGCCGACGATCTGTGTTATTCGGGTGAGGCCGCGCCGCGCAGATTTGCCAAACGTACTCGTATGAGAACTCTAAGGCATTGTCCTAATACAACGCGATTACGCGATCATCGCGCGATTAAACGATGCGACCATCGCGTGATCGCGAACTGGGTGTCCTAATAGAACGCGAATACGGAACGGGTTAGCCCTGCCACTCTCCCCGCTTCCTATCGACGCGACGCGATCATCGCGCGAACTTCAGTTAGGACACCTATTCATCATTAATAGGTTTGATTGCGCGTTCGCGTGAACTAAGTTCGCGCGAATAGATTTTTAAACATTTTAGTCGCGCGAATGCATCGCGCGATCGCCTATTAGGACACCTATTCTAGATCAATATGTTTGATCGTCGAATCGTACGATGATCGCATCGCTCATTCGCGTTATCGCGTTGTATTAGGACAATGCCTAATGGTAGCCATACACACTACGAGAAATCGTTACGATTAGACTGTACCGTCCGAACGGTACCGATAAATCGTAGCGTGTATGTTATAAAACTGCACAGTTTCCTATTACGTATAGGAACCTACGCCACGTATGATAAACTGTTCGAACTGTACAGTCTGTTCGTAACGATTTCTTGTAGTGTGTATGGCTACCATTACGTTCGAGTTTTAGCAGTATCTGTGCATGATACGAGGTGATGATACAATGATACGAATAAGGATGCATTTAGTGATGGCATAATGAATCTAAACTCACTTTGACGATCCTTTGTGGACTGGACATATTTTTATTCTAATAATATTTTTGAAAGAAAGAAATAATTTTATTTGAGACAAACAAAAAAACATAATAATATTAAAAAAAATGGTCTTCCGTTGGAACCGGTTTGGTGTCGCACGAATCAATAACAACAAGAATAATAAATAACATAAAAAATAGAAAACAAAACAAAAAACCAGGAATAAAAATAATAATTTTTGGTTTGTGTACATGGCACAAACAGTCAACATTGATCAAATCTCATATCCAAATACATAAATAGATAGAGATACATCTAACCGAAATTCGGCCGAAAAGCTGCTGAACTTATAGGTATACCGGTAATACCGAATGTGAAAAAATTTCTGTGCATTTGTAATAAAATCCAAAACGTTCAATTGACACTGAAGTAAATGATTATTAAATTAAATTATTTTTATGCACTTATCTCAAGTGTACGCACCTCTCCGATCCGACTGATACCATAGAAAACAAATATTTGCTTCAAAATTACCTTAAAAATACCCAATTAGTCGTACGTCGAAAACTTTTATTCACCGTAAATAAAGTGTTAAAGATTTAGGACATAGGTAGGTAGAATATTGTTTTAAACTTTCATGGTCACTAACATTATAGCTATTAACGGGATTTTGTTTTTTATCACATCTACCCGCAATTACTTCAGTTACTCCGTGATCATGGCGCTTGCAACAGTGCCGAAATATCGGAGACTCAAGAAAAACAAGGTACATGGTAACAATCCCGTTAATAGCTATAATAGGTAGGTAGGACCAATAATATCTGTTTTAAGTATATTTTAAATAATAATAATAATAATAATAATAAATCATTTTTATTTCAGGCACTGGTATACATTCAAATACATGTCCCATAGATTATTGATTACAATTAAATCCACTTACGTTTCGTCAAAATTTAAATTAAACATTATTAATTACATACATTATTCTAAGTCATTAATTTTTCTGATTACAAAATTTCTATTAAGTTTTCGGATTACAAAAATTAAAATCGTACATATATAAAGTTCGAAAAACAGCCGAAACAATGCTGTTGGTACATTTTATTAGTCTATTGTGGAATGAGACTTTAAATCCAATCAGAAGTTCATGAAAGTTTTTCACATTATAAATATTAAACATGGCCGTTGCCCATGCCTCCATTTTATTTGTTTTAAATAAAATAGAGTGATCAATCTAATATGTCGGGAGTAGTGCATTTGATCGTAAGCAGCTGCATTGAGTTATGATGGACGAGGAAGAGCTCAGGGTTATATCGAAATTTCCAGTAATACCATTTCGACTATTTTATATGCACGCTAAATGCTACTTTCTTGCCTAGGCACTAAGGTGGAAATCGGGATGAGCGTAAAAACATAATTCTTGAAAAATGGACTAATGCAGATTCTGTCTGCATACGATAGAATTTATTTATATTAAAATATTACCGTGAAAGGGTATGGAGAACTGTATTTAATAGCCATTTTAAAATTAAACTTTGAACTATTTTACCTTCATTAAAACTATGGTTAATTATCCCCTCGTTCGTGACGGCATTTTGTATAATTAATTGAGGATCACCTATCTATAATTATCTATATATAAAAAACTCAAAGGTGACTGACTGACTGACATAGTGATCTATCAACGCACAGCCCAAACCACTGGAAGGATCGGGCTGAAATTTGGCATGCAGGTAGATGTTATGACGTAGGCATCTGCTAAAAAGGATTTTGATCAATTTTACCCCCAAGGGGATAAAATAGGGAATGAAAGTTTGTATGAAACTTTGTCAATTTTAAACCGATCGGGTTTTATAGAGCTGAAGTGTAGACACACTTCAGCTCTATAAAAGAAATATACCAATTCATACAAAGTAA